GGAGCTGGAAGGAGGAGCTGGAAGAAGTGGCTGGGGAGAGGGAGGTCTGGGCCTCCCTTCTGAAGCTGCTGCCCCCGCGACCCAACCCCGGATAGGCGGAAGAAAATGGATGGATGGATGGATGGATGGATAATAGTTAAAAGCTTTAATTTGTGTTGTTATTAGAACACTGTATGAGTTGTGGTATCTTTCAGCTTCAGGTTTTGTGGATCTGGATAAGCTTTATTTAGTGGGAGAAAGGACAGAAGTGCTCCTTATCTAGACTCCTGTGTTTAAAAACAATGTCTCTTTCTGTCTCAAACCAAGGTTTTGAAAATAGTAAATGGTCGTACCTCTGTCCAGATCGGGTCGATACTTTGGAGAATCAGAAGAAATTTCAATGGAGGAGCAGTTCCAGCGCATGTCGGAAAACGTCTTCTGGCAGGTTTTCTTGACTTCACGAGCAGCTTGGACGATGGTCTTTATGATCTCCAGGTGAGTGCGGCACAGCTGAGTTTGGGTGGGCACCAGGTTGGGCAACAGCTTACACTGTTGGCTGTTGTTCATGTGTAAAGCAATGGGACTGTTTGACAAAGTCCTGCAAAAAAGCACAGAGACAGAAACAAACTGCTCATTACATGACTCAGGCTTTATTATGAAAATGAAGATGCAATCTGTGAGTTTTGTTCCACTGTGTGTGACTTTGATTTGTGAACGTTTCAAGTTTGTGGACACATGAACTTTTAAAAGAGTCAGCTGAGGAAAAATCCAAAGGAAAATCAGCTGCATTGGTCATAAAAATGCAAGTGACATCTTCTTGGCACAGAGCTTTTCTTTTGTTAAGCCTCTGAAGACAGATTAAAATAAGCCCCAAATTTTAAAAAAGCCTCAAATTTCAAATCTTTTGTAGGATAAAAAGCTCCATAAATCCCTTTATCGTCTGAACTTTGCACCACAGGAAGCGTCGTCCTCCATGCCCGCAGTCCTACATGAATCATCTCTTCATAGACTATAAGAGTGAACAATCAGTTCAAAAGTTTTAAATTATAGGCCTAGGCATTCTTTGCATGTTGCCCACCATTTTTCACCCCAGATTATTACACAGAGATTGTCTCATGCTGAGAAATGACAGAGTTGTGCGTCAAGGGTTTGGTCACACTGATCTTGTGCACATTCAGAGCTTTGATAAACTCAGCTAAAACCACATCAAAATTCTGAATTAAACTGACTCAAAACAATTAATTACTTGTAGTTGTAAAAATAATGATTATTTTCTAAACATTTATATAAAATTTGTCCAGATATGTTGCTTACAGACAGAGTTGACTCTAACTACTTATTGTGAAAATTTAAACAAAGACCTCGCACAATCAATACATAGAATTTATGCTGGAGCACAGTCTCAGCTGCTGCCACACCAAATATTAGGTCAATATCTATGAAACTGACTGAGGTAGATATTTTATGTTTGTTAATGTCAGATGGGTGTAGCAGCCATCTTGAATTGGGTCAACACCAAAGATTAATCAGTGGTAGAGGTAGGGGTACATCCAGTGATTACTTTCTGAAAGTTTTAATAAACTTCATGTAGTGGTTCTTGAGATACTTTGGTTAGAGTTGGGCAAAATCATATCATATGCAATTAATCTTCAGAAAAACTTTAATTGATTTTTTTTGGCACTTGATTAATACGATTAATGCCGCCAGACAGACTGACTGGAGATTGTCCCAGTCAGTCCGCTTGATGCTCCTCTCTGCTTCAAATATGACAAACATTTTTAAAAAGTTCTGTAATTTATTCATCATAACTCTGCTTTTACTTGATCAACACAATTTAAAAATGGATGTAAAGCCATGGATGTAAATCTGTCTGTACTTTTGACACAATTAGGAACAGATTTTTGTGGACAGGAAATCTTTCCCACTAGAGTAATTTAAATTGGTGATGTGACTAGGACATGCAATGGCATCTAGGGACTCCAGGGGATTAATCATCATGTTAATTGTCATCGGCTACACTGCAAAAAAATGTCCACCAAACCAAGTTTTAAAATCTTATATCCTGCCAAAATGTCTTTTTGATCTTGTTTTGAGACTGATTTACTAAAAAAAGACTGATTGTGTAAGAATAATAATCTTGTTTTCAGAAATTGTAAGATTATTTGTCTTGTTAGTCTGAAAATTTGACTCAAATTAAGTCAAAAATGTCTGCCAATGGAGTAAGAAAATTTTACTTGGGAAGATTCTTGAAATAAGGAAAAATTGAGTCAAATCAAGTATTTTAGGAATCTTACCAAGTAAAATTTTCTTATTCCCATTGGCAGAAATTTTTGACTTGATTTGAGTCAAATTTTCAGACTAACAAGAAATAATCTTACACATTCTGAAAACAAGATTATTATTCTTACACAATCAGTCTTTGTTTAATAAATCAGTCTCAAAACAAGATCAAAAAGACTTTTTGTCTGGATATAAGATTTTAAAACTTGGTAAGATGGATATTTTTTGCAGTGTAAATACTACAATTAATAGTGATTAATTTTTTGCCAACCCTAACTTTGGTTCAGACAAACATGAATGCACAAAAACATTATCATCCACTTTCTGTGGTGGATGGTAATTATTGCACACAAAGGGAAGTTAGCTCAGCTCTCTGGGTCTGCTGAGAGTTCATGAGAAGCAGGCAGGAGTGCCTCCAGACTCAGCCTGTTCTGCATTAGGAGACAAGGGGGCCGTCACCACGTGCCCACTGATAGGCTCTGACTTTGTAAGCAGGCACTCGCAGGTGTTTACAGCTGTGCCTGTTCTGCATTGCACCGCTRCGCTTTGTCAAGACTGAAAGACATCTCCGTTTGATTTAGCACATGTCATCCACATTTTCATGGGCACATCTGCTAAAACGTTCACATTTAGACAAACACACCGTGATATTTTAGATTTATCCCAGGGTTCCTACAGTTTAAAGCAAGTTAAACATAAGAATTTTTAAGACTTTTTAATGCTAAGTGAAATTAAATT